TGTATTAAACGCGTACCGTTTATCGTAGCGTATCGAATTCTATTCAAATTGCGTTAGATATACGTATAATAAAAGTACAAAGAAACACACAGGGTAAATTATTTTCGGAATAAACTGTCTGTTAGTATTTTACAATACCGGTGATGTTTCATTATAAGTAAATTGGCGAGTTATCGATTGCTTTTGTGTAGACATCGAATGCGCGTTTCCCACTTTATACGCATTTTAAATCTTCTTTCAGCTTCTTTGTTAAGTGTCAAGATCGGCTTGTTACAAATTCGTTATTGTTCGCAGCGCCATAAACAAGTCCCGACGCTCTTTATTCGATACGACGAGGACGTTTAATCGGATTTCGCGATTTCGTTCGTGAGAGATCGGTCGCGAACGCGCTCCCCGTTATTTTCCATCTTTCATTGTTATCGCGACGAAACAAAGGTAAGCGCGGTCGCGCAAAAAGGCCATAAGATGGGCTTAATGGCACTGGCGCGTCGCCAAATCGCGCCGCGGGGTCGAATGCACCGATTGAAATGTTCATTACTGCCGCAAATCATCCGGCGGATCCGCGTAAAGAAGAGCCGCCTGTACTATATATCCACCACTTGGTATCTCTTTCAGCTCGCTCAACTGCGCTAGAAACGAATTGCCGCGATAAATCCGCCCGCGTCGATTTTTCTCGAGAAGCGCGTCGCTCCCGAGATGATGGGTTGGGATTCTTGGCGCTTATTACTGTGATTCGCAAACTTGCTCGGAAAGACTGAGAAAGCTCGTCATTTAGCACAATCTCAGGAAGATACAACAGAATATCACTCTCTTTATTTATCGGTAATCGTTTTAAAAGCACAAATATAATTAATAAGTATATTGATATTTCTTTGTATGGCAGATTTTCCCACATTATTTTCAATAGAGTTGAAAATATTAATCGTAGATATTGCGTTAACAAATAACGCATTAGTAGATACACATAGACTTTTCGTAAAGAAGGAATTGTAAAGAGTTGCGATAAACGAGGAAGAAAGTTTTTACTTTTTAGTTTGTGCCGATAATTCGCTAAGCGAGTCTATAACGAAAACCATTGTAGTGAATTGGCCGATTTATAAGCTGGTGGCTTTTTTTTGTTGCAGACAAAGCTCCGTCGGAAGCATCCTTCAGAGGGACCGAGTATCTCACGATAGATTTGAGCAAAGGAGAACCCGTGCTCAGTACACAGGAATCCATAAGCCTCCAGTTCAAAACGAGACAGCCAAATGGACTCCTATTTTATTCCGGTAAATACTTTCTGTATTCATGGCGAACCATTTCTTTGGTCAATTATAATAACTTCCCTCGAACAATTTATTTTTACTTGCGGATTATTTTACCCTTGAATGTGTTTGCTGGCAATTAAGAAAATAGATAACCGCAGGTATTTGTAGTTTGTACATCTGGCGAACAATTAATACGAGGATACAGAAGCGCGAAAGTAATAATCGGAAATCTGGATTAGAGTGCACGCGAAATTATTGCGAATTTTCCGTTCTGGAAACAAACGGGCGCGAATCCGTCGTGGAAGCGTGCGATTAGCTGAAAACAATTTGGAAAGATTAACAATGGATTCGCATTTAATCGAATAACTTACGGACGACCGAATATCCTTTGAGAGAACGCAAATAGACAATGGGACCATCTTGGACAATGGTCGCATATTAAATCTTTATTGCTCCTCTTCTCCCGTGGCGACATTATAGCCAATTAGAACGTTTCAATGGTTCGGATACCGGACGTACGGCCAACCAAAGAAATTTTGTCCCTCTTTCCTTTCCTCTGTCCATTTAGCATCCTTTTCTTATCATCTCTCTCCTCGCTTTTATTTTAAGATGGTGTTACATCGGGTCTTGTACGACCTATATTAATCTAGACTCCGTAAACGTTTCATTTAAAGTTTCCTGAGCAGAATAGTGCACGACATATACGTTATCGAAAATCGATCGTTATTTTATTTACTTATTACCTGCAAGTACATTTTGTATCGACAATTATAGGATTTCTAGCTTTATGTTTAGCTCCGACATAATTTCGAGAATAGACATTCAAAGTAATAATGACAAAAATGTTTAGACTTTGCGCTGTAATTATAATCAATTATAATTGATTCTTTTTAATATTGAGAAGATTTTCTCACTTTATGTGTCCGAAGAGCTCTCGTGGTTTTAGATAGCAAAATTAATTTCAAAACTTGAACAAAATTTTCGCTTGAAATTGAAACTGCAAAGTTTTAAAGATACGTGTGTGTAAATGAAATTTAATTTACTTAATAATCCGAGCAAAAAGCAAGTCGAAGGAAAAGTTGGCCTCTTACTCGTGCGCGTCTCGGTCAGATTTCTGATTTATTGTGCCTTTATCATATCCACCCGGCCGTGTTACGGCTTCTCCTCGGATGCGCATGAACCTTCAGTTTATAGTATACTTACGTAATGAACGGTGGAATCAGCGCAACCAAGATGGCAAGACTGCACCATCCGCAGTAAAAGGAGGAGTTTGCACCTCCGGTTGCAGCGGCAACTCGAAACCTATATACCGGAGCCGCAATGCCGTACCACACACACACTGACATGCGCGCAACCACACGTCCGCATTCACATATCCGCACCCACACAGCGCGCAAGATGCATACGTAGCATTCGTTTCCCTCTCTTGCATCTCCGCAGCGCGCTCACACCAGGTTGCTCATTTGTTCGCGAGATAAGCTATAATGCAACCGCGCACTCGCCGTGCATTTGAATTGCGCGTATTTCCGGGGGGCATAATCGTCGCGCCACGCAACTTTCATTCTTTGAAATCGCGGCGTCGTATCGCGGGAATCCCCTCGCGAGCGACGTAACAACTCCCTTGGAGTGTCTCGCCGGAAACGGTGTCCGACCATCCTCGCCTTTTACCACTTTGCGCTGTCTACTTGCACTCGCTTGGCTCACGTGCCGAGCCGCGCGTCGCGTTTAAATTCGCATCGAAATGGTCTCGCCCGAATGGTTTCAAATAACTATCTGCAGCGCGATTGTGCAACGATATTTCTCAAATATAGCGGGATTTGCACGGATAATTCGCGTCCGGGGGATAATTAGGCAAAGTACATTGAAATAACGAGCGAACAATGAATAACAATTCCGCGCGCGTGTCCGTGGATGTATCGGCGAGCGACGACTGTTATTTTGGATTCTAAAAATTCTCTGTTTGCTTTACGGTGATTAAATATTCAGTAGCGTACGCGCCACTATTGGGAGAAATGGCTCCACCCGTGGGAATTTGGACCAGGGATGCGGTCGCAACGGAAGCGGGCAAGAGCTCGCTGCCGATTTCTCGCCGCGTATCCGCCACACAGGTGCTATCTTGGCGGCGCGCAACGCGTTTGTTATCGCGCCTGTTTCCCGATAGCGATCCGCGATGCGGATCGCGCCGGCGTTGGTGGCTACGCGAATAAAAGCGCGATACGTAACGCGCGTAATGCACTTAGGCGCATGCTAATGCGTCGCGCCGGCAGCAATTAAGCCCGAAGTACTGTCTGCATCTTTTATACGCTCGAGTCCCCCGGCTGCCCGTAGGATAATTAGTATGCGGTCGCGGCCCGATTTTAAAGCGACTGCGGCAATAACCGACGGTGGCGTTTGCGAGATTCACGAGCGTAACGGCGCATCCGTTTGCGCCTCTCCCCCCGATGTGCCTTAAGCACATCTAACTTATTCGCGATGACGAAAATTGTCATCTCTCCTACGTAGCGCACATATTAATTGCAGTTCTCTTATTATTCGCTACGCGCGCCGAGTAAATTAAAAGAAATGCTCGAAAACTGGAACCTTTTTTCCCTCTCCTCTAAATTCCGCAAGTTTAATCAAAGTGCAACAGCTTGAAAGAGGCGAAACACATAAAGGTGTTTATCAAGACTGTACATTAGGAGCATTTTTGTGAAATGAATCAATTTTCGCTTCTCGCTTGTTTTCACTGCGTTTAACAGGTACATTGTTAAATATTATTATAAAGTGTGTCTTTTATATTAACTGCACGAGAGTTCTTTAGGACACCACTCGCGCGTAACTTTTAATCGCAAAAATCGTCGTTCCATCAGCAGAATCGTCTTAATCCTCCAACTCGTTACAAGTATAACATAATCCGCGAGGATTTCCTGGCGAGTCTGGTACGATAATTATTAACGACGATCGCCGGACGTTTTAACCGGTCACCCGGATACTAAGTGCCCCGAAACTAATGGTTAAGCGGTCGTAATCGATTTATATGCGTCGCATCGCGCCATAATCTGGCAAGCGGGCCCGACGAAAAATGGAGCGAGCGAGGGAAACCGATGGCGCGATGTCGCCGCGGGGATTAAAAAGTTGCGACTGGAATTTGCGTGCGCCGCTGCCGATCTTTTTTTTCCCCCCAGGCAATGCGTGCGACGTTAACGCGTCAAAAGGGATTGCGCTCAATGGACGGTAATGTCCCGGGCGCATCAACACATACGCGACTAAAACGTCCGTGACGGCCGCGAACGTTTTCTGTTTTCGACAATCTCGCGTCAGCCACTGTCGCGATTAGTTGAACGGCATTATTTGCACTTCAAAAGCGAGATAAGAGACTCGTCCGCTGTGCAATGTATATTAAGCGCGCGCGCGCTCACGGCACTCTCTCCACGACTTCATTAGTTTCGTTTTTAATTACAGGAGAGGGCGATGATTATCTCACCATATCGCTGAGAGACGGAGGTGCCGCGGTCGGTATGACCCTAGCCAAAGGAAGATTGGATCTGCACATAAAGCCGGCCAGGGTGCGGTTCGACGATCATCAATGGCACAAAATCGTCGTCCACCGGAAAGTTCAAGAGGTAAGGATCGTTATTACTTTATCCGTACATCCGCGAATAAAGGATGAAATAAGGACGTGCCGAAGATAGAATTTGACTTGGAAGTGGAGTTAGGAGATGGACATGCTCCAATATTCATTATATATGCTTGATAGCTTAAATCGGCATATACTGCCAGCTCGCGTTTCGCTTTTAAATGTCTAATTTTAATGAGCGGAAGGTAGAAAATCCATTACAGTACGGACGTTGAAGGCGTTAAATTTTCACACTGTCGCGATTCAAATGGATTGGCGAACGGACGTGAGAGCAATTTCGTTAATGTCATGGATATACAGTGGCATTCATTGCGCATTACGCGCAGTAGAATAGATAACGCAATTATTTGCGCGCTACCATCGCGGATTCCGCGAACTGCGGAATGACATGAGTTTATCAGGTTATCGCCGCAAAATATTGGCATCCCTTGTCGAATTGTAACACACACCGTGCGGATTGGCTGCGATAATTAAAGTAAGCTAATATTTGTTGGAATCTGTTAATTTCGTAACAATGGATTGTTAATTAAAGACATTGTTTCGTTGGCTCGCATATCTCATTTTTAACGGGAACAACACACTGAGGCGCGCATTAAAAAGTATTGAATTTCAAATGTTAATTGGGCATTTCAGAAACTCAAATAGTTTGAATATGCGAGAGTGAGTTCAAATCAGAAAGGAATAGGGAAAGTTTTAAACTAACCGATGCCAGTAAAAGCGACTATTATGGATCTAGATATTCATTGTACTAGTTGTGCATAGAGCAACTCGAACAATGAAAATTGTGTCATATTTAACCGAACGCATTTAAAGTAAAATGGAAACTTCTCTTTTTCCTATTCAATCTACATCGTTTAATTTTTTATTTTTTCTTAAGCACATTTTCTTTCATCTATGGACTCTAAAAGCCCCAAATTCGTTATTCTTTATTCTCAATCGGTTACAACACAGAAGAGCGATTTGTTGATATGTTTCTGCAAAGAAACTCAAAATCGACGAAAAAATCTGTATAGTTGAAGAGAAATACCGCGTCAACTCATGGGATTTTCTAGGTTCGTCTATTTCTGAAACAACTGTTCGTTATCTTACATCGCAATCGGAATGCGCTGCTCCGTGATATGTACAGCAACAATTTAAGGGCTGCGGATGTGCAGCGCGTCGAGAATTAGGTCGAGAATAGCGTATAGTCCGACTAATGTTCGCCACTGCTTTGGATAATTTTCCTGAGCACACGTTGTTCGCTCGTGTCACTTCCGCAGCTGTGTAAACGAGGAATCGATTCCCCGAACGTATGCTGTCGAAGGATCGTCCTCTGCGCGCTGTTAGATCAGGGAAATATTTACCCAACAGTGTAATATTAAGATTTTCTCAGTTTTTTTTCCTGACGTATATTTTTAGCATAATTTTGATATTTCTACGAACCATTGATTTAAACATGCCGTGATAATGAATCTTGTTCAATGATGACTCCTCGTTAGGCATCTGAAACTAAACTCGAAGACTAATAAAATATATCTTGTGTTCTTCCAATCACGGCTCTGATTTCCGCGGTGAACTTGCTTACCAAGAAACTGTAAAGGGTTTCAGCGTTCCAATTTTAATTGTTGAATAATATTAATAAGAGATTAATCAATACCTTAATCACGAGCAATCACGAAGGTATACGACATTTGTGTCGCGTTCAAACGCATATTATTTATTATCGCGCTCCAGTTATCTCTACTTACGCGATGAGTGGCGATATCTCTCCATGTCGCGTTTCAATATGCGTTGCACACGCACACGCTGCGATATACGCGACTGTTCCCGTCGCGTTACAAAGCGCATGTTTGCGACGTATCTCGGGCGCAGCTCAAAGCACCAAGTAATTGTGCACATTTTCAATAGCGAAAGATAAATACTAAATTGCGAACAGAGCGGGTGTATCAGCCGGGTATGATTATTTCCCGGGTTCGTTTCACGATGCACATTTATAGTGGCACGCGGTGGTCTCGTTATAAAAAGAAAAGGCACTCGCGTTTATCGAATCAAACACGCACGACGCGTTTTCTGTTCGATATGTCGGCTTCGCAGAAAGCGCTGACCCGGTGCTCCTATTCATACTTGCAATTAGTTCGGAACTAATAATAATTAATAATAAAGTAGACCGTACAGTGAAAACAAATCAAATTTTCAGGTTATTATAAAATGTTAAATTTTAAACTATGTTTTTCTCGAGGAACTTTCTTTCGCGAAGAAATCAATACTTGCAGTTCGAAAATTATCACCGATCCGAGTAGATTGCAAATTTTACATAAAATTGGCTGTAACACAATTGTGATATCTTATGATAATACGAACAAGAAGATATGTTTTTTCTTTCTCAAAACATTTTAAACATTTGTCCAACCAAGATCGCTGTGAGCGAAGAAAAGTTTACATCGCGCTTTTAACAGAGGCTAAGCTTTGTGGGCAAGAGTTAGAAAGTAGGAAAAAATGCATTCAGCGAGATTAGTCGTTGCCCCAAACAAGAGTTGTCGCGCGACGCTCTTGAACCCTTTTATTCTACGTGCGGCGTGGCTACGCCGCTTGCCGGGCGCGTTCAAAGAGCACAGAGCAACCCCTTCACTCTCGAACACTATCCTTCGACCAGTTACTGTCGCGATACGTGTAAAGGTTAATATCGTCGAGAGGTGGGCGGAAGGAAGGGAAAGAGAGTAGGAAAAGAGATTGGGTGTCTAGACACCCCTACCCTCCAGTCAGACTTGAGCCCTCGGGATGCGAGCTGCGAGAATCGACTTGCAGCGCGGATTGCCTATTACGATCCTCCCGCGAGCGTTTACACCCGCCGTATGTTGTACACACGGACACTATTATCTCGCCGATGGTTTGATTGCGTGGTTACCACGAGCGCTCTGCCGATGTGTGCCACACGAACACAATAGACGAGTGTCTTTTACTTCCTGCAGAGATTTTATTGAATGTCTCACTTGTCTTGTAGGTTTTGTAGAATTTTTATCGAACACTCGTGTCTTTTAGTTACTGCCAAGATTTTATCACGTATTTGTGAAATATTTTAACTCGTAAGAGAAGACTAAGATGAGAATAAGACGTGTATTTATATTAATAAAATTCACAATAAAAAATTAGAGAAATAAAGGAAAAAGGGAAGCTATTTGCAGCATTTGTAAATTTTTAACTTGGTTGAGCAAAGAATGTACAATTTATATTCTTTTATTTTATTTTAAAAACGTTTATTTTTCTTGAAATCTCTCTCTCTCTCTTTCTCTCGTATATACAATATAAAAGGGAAATTCTATTGCAGAGTAGAATAGTTAATTTCAGATCCACGTTTGTAAACAACTGGAAGTTTTCAATACTTGATGTATAAACGTTTTACACGCTCGCTGTTAGGGAATGCGAAACAAACAATTTACGCGCTACGATCGATTCTATATTCAATTAATTTATATGTGGTTGCCTTTTGCTACGTACTTTGCTTCGCTTGTTATTGAAAAAAAGAAATTCGCTAATGCGCATACAAACTGTTTATTTGTGGTAAAGGCTTACATGTAAAGCTATATATTTAACGTAATCGGGATTCGAGTCACGTTACGGAATCAAGCAAGTGGTCGGACTATTTTTCATACTTGCTCAAGAATGCCTCGAACTCGGAAATGCAGAGGAAACAGAAACCCAGCTGGCTGGCGTTACGATGACACGCACGAGCGCACTTAACGCACGACACTTGGCGGTAGCGTTCGTTAGTATCGACCAACGTGAATGCACTGATGACGTTCCGCATGCGAACTTCTGAGATTTCAATCGATTACGTCGCCCACGAGCGCCATAAATTAAGCCCTTAAATGCAATCGCCCGACTTGCAGCTCCGAGATAAGCTTTATCGGCTAATCACATAAGTTTTATTAAATTTAAGATAATGTATCGCTGTAATTGCTGGTAACTTGCCAAGAAAAGAGAAAAAGAGAAAAAAGAAGGGGAAAAGATACCGTCCAATAAATTTGCGAGTTCACCATTGTTCATTATTGCCCTCTGCCACTTGTATCTGCCGCAATTTTCATTCCGCATGTAGATGAAATTAGTCGGAAAACTTTTCAAAAACGTGCAACGATTATAGACTACGGTGGGGAAAACCACACTTGTATTCCGTCAACATCAAGAGTTATGTTCTACAGTGTATTTCGCGAGTGGAAACGGAAAATAAAATCCAGTCTGGCATCCAGCACGAGGGATGCCTTAGAATGAACAGGAAAACTCGCGCGTAGTCGATTCGAAGATCCTCAAAGGGCGAAGCCTGCCACGATCGCGCGTGCTCCACCCGAGAGATTCCACCGATCTCTGACAGAAAGATTTAACACCGTATCACCTCGGAGCGTATCCATTCGCCGCGCCCGGTGCATACCTATGAGGGCAACCCGTTCGTTCATCGCGTTCCTCCTTGCAACGAATTCTTCTCCGCTTTCGCGCGCGCGAGCGAGCACGGGGTGACGGAGGCGGATCGCGGCCTCATCCTTCGTGTGTCACTAGATCACCGGGATCCCTTAGGCACGAGTACTTTCATCTCTCGTTGCTGCACCCCCGCTTTTTCGTGGCAAGATGCATCGACCGGAAGGCCTCGCGTTCGTGAGTAAACGGGACGTCTCGAATACGCAAGATGATCTCTTATTTGATGCAGCGCAGAATTTGCCTACGATGCAATGCTAACCGACACCCGCCATTACTTAAGATCTGATTTTCGTATTTCAGTTTTTATCGCATGCCCAAAAATGGAATTTATCGTAGTTCACTTATACGCGTGATGTTAAAACTTACGAAAGCGCGATAAATAGTTATCTACTCGGCGTTGCTTCTACGGAAAGATCGTCTTTAAACTAGTTGAAATAAAATCACGGTCACAAAAGAAATCCCTTTTCGAAACGTACTCTATATAAACTAAAGTTAAATTAAAAACTTCCAAAGTAGTTAAAGTATATCGAATTCTGGCTGAGAAAAAAAATAAAGCAACAATTTCTTTTGAAACGAGACATTTCTACCGCTTCTTCTTTAGCCAGCCAGTACGCGACTCGAACGAAGAGATTCAGGATCGTATATATCCTACCATAAATTAAGATTTCAATTCGTCGCCTGCCGGATCGAACTTATGTGCATCGATAGCGCTTCGCTTCTCTTGTCACGCTTGGCTTTCACGACGTGGAGACTTCGGGAATTTACTATCGAAGTATGCCATCTACGATACGTTTGTTGACACGATCGATTCCTGCTGGAGGAGGAAACAGAGAATGCTCGTGTAATAATGCTCGTTGAACGCGGGAAAATTTGTGCGGGAAGATTAAACGCGTGCGTGCGCATGCAAAGGGATAGAGAGCGCGATAACGAGAATTGTTGGAAAGGCACGGGGAAAGGCGAAGAATTTTTGTGGAAAATTAAACTATCAGCCACGCGCGTTAATGCTGAAAATTATTCACAATCGTGCGTTATTTCTGTTTGGATCGCACTGCAATTTTACTAGGCGTTTAAAAAATAATCTTTACTTTGCAAACAATAACGTCGCGTGAGGTCGATCTGTAGACAAGCGCTGTGTAACGTTCCAAATCGGAGCTTCGAGGAATGAATATGATTTGTTAGTCCAACGTTTGTGAAATATCCGGAGAGAGAGATGATCGCGAATTACGGCGGAATAGAAGGATCTACGATCCTTCGTTTGCGGAATGTTCGGGGTATGCGATCTAAATCCACGGCATTAAATCATTCTCGCGAGTGAGAGAGGCTTGCAACGCATTCGAGCAGTTTTCCGGGAAACCGTTTAATTCGTTACGTACGACTCAGCTGCACAAACATTAGCTTATTTGAAAGGGAATCCGGAGGAATGCCGGCGCTTTTCTTTGATATGCTGCTGGCGCAAAGTAGTCTTTAAATTTACGACGTTCGGTGAAGATCCCGCCGGGTCGCGTAATGCCAATTTTATGTAAAACTCGCGGCCCCATAGATTTTATATTAAGAGCATCGTAAGTAAATAATAAATTACTCGATAGATGGATTATTTTGCCGCATTACTCGTAATGTAAGTAAAATATCGTATATTAAAAGTAAAGTTGATACGCCCTCTCATATTTTATTTCGACGTTCTAACATGAATTATAAAATACCTCTTAAAATATTGACTTCTCGTTATTCGTAAATTTACTCAACACTCCAACTCGTGTAGACACAGTGCGTTAAGCTTCGCGGGACAAAGCTTATCGAGTTTGTCGTAATCCCTTTGTTCCCTACTTTTACTCGGCGGTGTACTCGGTATAGGAAATCTCATCGAATATTACTCGCCTGAGCCCAAGGGCGATCTAAATCGAAAGCCAATTAAGCAGATAACTGATCAAAGGCAAACAATAAGCGTATCGGCCTAGCTTGCCGAGATATTAACATAATGCCGAATCAGAAGCCATTCGTACACAGGACTACAAGCCTTCGGAAGCTGTTTGATTCACCATAACGATACAATCCTCAAATTGACTGTAATGTATTAAATTTGACGTAGTCTTGCGCATCGCGTGAAACATTTTTTCGTATCGTAGATTAACGATCAACGATCGAAAGTAATAACGAACGAAACGTTAATCTTTGGACAAATTAAAATCCGTATGGCTCAAACGAGCTTTGTACAAATATTTCAATCTGACGTCAACATTGTAAGTGCAACGATGAGTGAGATCCATACTAAATATGCAGATGTGCATTAGAGAGTAATTTTTTAAATATATGAAATACATATGCCGCGAAATGGACTGAATTGAACAAAAATGAAATAGTGAACTTACATAATGAAAACGTCAAGTTCGTTATTACAGTGTATTGACTTGACTTACACACTACACGATTGTCAAGCGACGAAGAAAGTCTACAACGATTCGATTCGTGTTCCATTTAAAAGTTCGTGTGCACGTAGCATATAATCGACGTGCGACACGAAGAGAGATACGCGTACGTCTTGTTTTTCGCCATCATTTCGCAGTACGCAAATGCAAGAGCTTTGTCACTGGCTTTCTCTTTCCGGCTGTTGCCCTTCTGTCAGTCGTTTAATCGCCATCAAAGGGATTCCTTAATAAGGCCCGCACACAGCCGCAGGCTCGCAAACCGCCCGCGTTTAGAAAGCAAATGCCCCTTGTGTCACACGCACGTTCGAAGCATATCAATGACGAGAAATTTTACGGATGGAATCGTCGAGTTCTTTAATCGCTCGTCTAAAAACGATCGAAAACTTTCATCTCGGCGAGCGTAATGGGCGGAAATAAGGTGAAATTAAAACGAAAGGAATATTTTTCGAGCTATTTATTTTTCATGAAAGCTAGTTTTTGGAAATAAGAAAAGTGAGGGAGTATTTTCGGGAATATCGCTTGGATGGCAAGCAATTCACAAACCGATATTGCATTATTACCATCTGAAAAGGTGGTAAGATGATTAAGATCCTAATGAACTTCTGGAAAAAATTTAGATTTCAAACTTGACTCCAGGCGAAGGCTTTCGTGCTCGCATCAAGCTGCGAGCGTTTCTCGCGAGGAAATGAAAATCGGTGAAGTTTCTACAAATACGTAAAATACGTTTGCGTTTTTCTCGAGCGACGCGCGGCGTAGCCATTCGCGCATCAAAAAAGTTCTTATGATAATCCAGAGGAAAAGTTTCGCTCGGCGTCGAATAGCTCGCGAGCTCTCGCGGCGATCAGCTTCGAAAGCTTCCGTACGTCGGGCAACTTTTGGATTTCAATTGTCGGTGTCGCTCGGAAACGCGTAAAATATACACGGTACTCTATACTGATTGCACATTTACGCTTTTTGTTTCAGATCTCTTCAATAACCAGCTTTTGCAGGGTGAGTGCATGATTTTTATTGTACCGCACGTTGTATGTACGTAGCTTTGGTGCGCCCGATCGATCGATCGCTCCGATGCAAATATTATTGCAAAAAATAGCGCGCAAAAGAATATTACGGTCCAGTTGGATTTACATTATTTAGTTGGTTAATCACGACTTTCCTCTGTATACTTTTTTTATCAAGCTCTGTTTTACACTTACTAATTGATATTGCCTTTACATTTTATCAAACGACAGATTTATTTTATTTTAATTCGATTCAATTGTTGCTCATAATTGCGTTTCACCTACAATCAAATCGGTATTGTACGGTGAAATACAAGATTATTTGAAGAAGAATTGGTAGGAAATTTCGTTATTTAAAATATGTTAGGCTTGATTAAATCGCCTCTTTCTCTTATTTCTGCCAAACCTCTTGAGCAGCAACTTCGTGATGGAGGGGCGCGAAGTTGCCTGCATTCCAGAGAAATGCCGAGGCATTTTTAACAAGAGCTCAGTCATCTATCCGTTTAGGTCCTCCGGCCACGTCCTCTTATTGCTCCACTCATGTCCTACCGGGACACGCGGGTGATCTCGAGATCTCCATTCGAGTCTCGTCCTCTCGCCTACGTGAGCGTCGTTGTCTCGCCCACTGTGCTTCCGGGCGGAAGGAATCCCGTGTGAATTTTTTATTGAAAGTATTTCCACGGGAGTGGCATACAGAAATAAGTTGACAAATGTTCCCATATTATTTATCTCAGCTCAATTCTACTAAACTGTAAAATACGCGGAGGGCTTTCAGTTTATAAATGATGCTACGCCGTGACAGGAAATTCCTGCATTTTGGTCTGACTGGAGAATGATTAATAAACGGTAGACTTTTAACGAAAGTGCAAAACGTATTACATTTATTAATAATAAAAATGACTATGTTTGTCTTTCTTGAAATTGAAATAATCGAGTTTCTAAGAGAAAAAGATTTTCCGCGGGGAAATTTCTTATTTGAAAATAATATAAACGTTTTATAATTTATGGAAAATATCGTAAAAATATTATAAATTTTTTTCTAATTAATGTATAAACGTAATTTGAGAAAGAAAGAGGTATGTGAAGGATTTTTCCATAACTTTAATAAATGAATCTGATTCAAGAGGATACACATTTTATCTCGTAATTAAACTAGATGACAAAAATAATTTTCCACATTTTACATTTTTCGTAATATCGGTATTTCAATTGTTCATATGAGAAATAAATTACTTCCTGTATTGTGAGCGGAATAACATTTCAATAAACGATGAATTTTCCATCGCCTGTCTGTCTCAAAGAAATATACCGACGATTTCGAAGAGACGTAGGAAAAAGTTGCAGCTGATGCATCTCGCCTGCACTTGACTGCTTTCAAGCGAGGAGTCGGAAAAAGATTCTGAAATGCAAATGGGCGCGAAACCGATCGATTGCATAATTTACGGTGCAGCCCGCGAGCTGAAAATACTGACGTTATCACGAATTTCTTGTCACGTAAACGTAAATTACTTCTTTTACTTATCGCTGACAATTTCCCATTAGCTAAATACGAGTATTTTCACCTCATACACTTTTTATCAACGAAACATCATTGCGATAAAAGTTGATCATCTCGTTACAATTGTGGAAATTGCAACACTTAACATCCTTCAATTCGACAATTCAAATGGCTATCAAATGGTTTCTATTTTTACGCTCATTTTTGGACACGTAAAATACAAATAGAAATTAATCTATGTCACATCTTTTCTCTCTTCCTTGAAATTATATTTTATGTCAGATTGACACGACGCTATCGCTCTAAAAAGCAAGAATAAATCATTCATGATGCAAAGAGCGAGAAGATCTCGTCTTGATACTGCCTTTTTCTTCCTTAGTGAGTATGCGCGTAGAAGTTTTCACATTTCCCGTCTTTTCACCTCAATGTTTGAGTCTGAACCGCTCTTAAGACTCTCGCGATGCTCCAGTAAATTCGATGATGACGTTTCTCCGGTTTTCCCCGGTTTCCCACGAATCTTTTTCCTTGTTTTTCACTCATTCCGCAGGCGGCCTTTCAGGGTGTCGGGTATAATTTACGATCTCGTTAAAAACGTAGAAATCATTTATTTCCATGGTACGACGTAATGTAGAAAAACGATCGGCGGCAGTGAACGAAACCAATAGTGAAACGGGATCATTTTGCAGCTTCCATTTTTACCATGGAACAACATTGCCATTTGTTACGCGATAGAAACGTCGGGTTTTAAAACAGGTAGTAATTGTGAGCATTGTTAAAAATATTATATTAGATCGTTAACATGTCTGTATAACATTTTAGTATCAGATATCTTAATAAGGGAATATAATTAAAATATTATTTGAATATTAATTCTATTTGAATATCAGTCTGGATTCTACAAAAATTTTGATTTCGTTTTATTTGAGTTAAAATTTAAAAAAATTTTTACTCTCACTATTTTTAACTTTTTAAAACGGTCTTAAATCTACAAAACTCGCCGGATTTTTATTTGACGAAATATATCGTGAGATGATGATTTTTTTATCTGCAAGTTTTCCATTAAAAAGGCAAAATTTAAAGCTGTTTCCTTACACGTTATTTTATTTACGATGCGATTTGTGATGGACGTTCACGGAATAAAATTAAAAAATCGTTAGTCGCGACAACAAAATGCGACGCACTTTTGCGTCCCCACGGACGCGTTATACAAATGCAGAATGTCCGTCATCCGTAAGCGGCTAAGTAGAGCTCACGTCTGGTTGTAATAAATAGTCTACTCCATCCCCTTGTCACTCCGTTCGCTCCATATTCGTCAAACGAGGATCAACATACTCGTTGCAAGAGGGACCCTCTCGCGCGTATGTTTCCTCCGGTGGGTTTGCGGCCCACTTTCCCGGCTACGCTTATTGTGTTGCTCCAAATACATTGTGCACGCAACCGAGGAATGTCTGCTGACGCTCGGTGGCTCGGCGATTATCACGATGCGAGGAAAAAAGGTGATATTAGAGGACCTGCTTCCCTCAAACCGAGTCTGCGTAGCTTCTTTCCGCACCATCGTTCATTTAGGTTCTAAAGTAACATCTACGTTGTAAAGAATTAATTTTAGCTACATTGCACGCCTATTAAATATTTAGACATGCAACTTTCTTACATGCACAATTTTATTGAAAATGCATGAAAGTTGGTGCTATTATTATTTTACATGCTATCTAATCTTTTATCGAGATTCTCTGCAACGCGGCTATTACGTATGCAGGTTTAATGAAGAAAACACAAGAACTTATAAAATATTAATCACCGGGCTCGCAGCAAAAAATGACAATAACAAAATGCACGTTATATTTTAAAAGCGACGGATCATAAATTATCATGCTGGCTCAATTTCAGAGAAAGAAAATAGTTGCCTGTACAATGAATTGCCAGTTCAGTTCACATTGGGACACTGTTATAAATGTTTAAGACGGCCATTAGCACGAGTCAGCGAGTCCAGAAGCGGCTAATGAAGATGGAAAATTAATTAAGTCGGAAAATTAATTCCTTCCCCGTGATAGAGCGAGATATTGCGGTTGCCCGATTCAAATCAAAACTGCGAATTTTGATTTACTTGGGCTTAATTAAATTTCCACCTGAATTAGCGATTCGCCGAAGTGGGCTAATCCACCGGCGTGACGTAATGACCCCTGCGGGGGATGTAAAACTGAAAATTTATAAAGCCAAGCCTACATATTTAAAATATATACATTTTTCTTATCAAACGATTAAATCTATACTTTTGTTAGTGGTTCAGCCAAGAAATTGAGTAATCGATAAATAATACTAGATGAATAATAATCAGAAACGCATAACATAAACCAACATTTAATAACTTATTATAGGAAGCGAATGAGTCGATTTGACTAATAGTGGTTTACCATTTATAAATTGATCATGTAAATAATTATCTTGCTAATTATATATATATTAATTTATTATTTATTGCTACGAATATCATTTTCATAGGAAAATATTACACGCGTGAAATTTCTCATTAACAGTTACACATTTTAATATCATTTTAGTCGGATATTGCCTTACTAAATTTTGTCATAGATACATGCAATCGTGATGAAGTAATGGCAGAAACGCATTAACGTATCTTTATACTCTTTATGCAAAGTACGCTTTACTGTGCGGAACACCGTTACTCGTAGACAGTTCCTTAATTTCATCGCGATGAGCTCGAGATCTATTTGTTCACTGAGAAGCATCGGAGATAAGGCCTCGAGGATTATGAAGGAGATTGCTCGACTGCGGTCCAAGGAAGCGCCCTCGACAAGAGAGCTACCTAATTACGATGAGGGAAGGCGGAAGCGCCTAGCAGGGCCGGCCCTATACGGCTTTAATGCTTCACGTCATATTTTCGAAGCTAAATTAATTAAAAGGGATTACTTTTTAGAACCTTATTTTTCAAAGTCTTAGATCCTATCTTTATTACAGTTTTATTTTGTATCATGTTTCACTACTTTGTAACGCCTTCGTTTTTTTTAATTACGTGAAGATAATTCGCATTTAAGAGCAATAATATACTTTGTTACGGAAAAAATTAACAATTTTATATACTGCTTTTATTCAATTTATTTATTATACAGTTTATTTATAATCCACATATGATTTACAGGCTGTTGTACAGACAAATAACATTTTATATTTTTCTTGCATTAGATTCACACTTGAAAGTCTCAAATTTTACATTAAATTAAGATAATAAGATTTATTTAATAAGAACTGAAAATTATTATTAAATTAAAACAATATTATAAAGTTATTGTTTCTACTGATTATTCAAATTTCGTGCAAAGGGTGAAAAATGTGTACATTTTTACGATTGCATTAAACATAAGCCTATATTACAAGCTCTGTAAATAACTAACAGTTTGCCACTCGAAATTTCATATAAAATTAAAAGAATTTTTTGTTATATCTATATTTTTTTTAAGTACATTCAATGTAAAATTTAAGACGTTTAAATGTTTAATTTTGTATACATGTGCAATTGCCTGAACAAAAAGCCCAAGATTTATAATTTTTCGTACCAAAAATTTCATGGCTGCATCGCGGCGGCCCTGGTGGTAAGCGAAGATGAAGAGTAGTAAGAGGATAGTATCTTCCTCTCCGTTAGATACCTCTGAGAGGTACGACGAGAGGACGTAACATCCTAACGCTTTAACCCTGCTCGTTCTATCCGGTTTCCCTTTCTGTTGGTTAAAGCGTATAGTAGACGAAAAAGGAAGCACATAACCGGGAGATAACGTCTATCGACACCACTGCTAAAGTCGTAACGAACCGCTCCTCAAGAACGGCGCTTGTCTAAATGCTAAACTTTACGGCATGCCCGCATGATCGTTCCGGAAACTTTAGCCGTTCTTTTTCAGAGATGTGGAAGCGCGTTACCGATGTTAATGCCGGTTACTCTTTCGAAGAGCGAGGTATAACGACGCTTGCAATTTACCGGTCCGACGAAAAGTTACGAGCGAAATATATAAGCCTTCATTTACGGAATATGGACTTTAGATAGACAAAAAGTTAAGAAAGTTCGAAAAACTTAAGATTAGAAGAACCATGAAATACTTATACAGGGCAACAGACCGAACACGTACAAAGATTGTGTTAAAATTATAAATATTAGCATTTATCTTTTAATTCGAAAAATTTTGTGCCAACTGTATGCAGAAAATCAATTTAAGTAATAAGGTTAAATTTAATCCCATAATTCGTCGTGAGATAGAATTTTCATCACACTGCTCTTTCTGTTATAGCTCTCTGCTATTGTCGATGGGATTTACGCTGAGCACGGTCATACCGCGGGATCGTTCACACATTTGGCGAGCGATCGACTTCTCGTTGGTGGAGGCGCTGATGCGAGGTCCTTGCAGGGCGCCAAAGGGATCAACAACTTCGTTGGGTGTCTGAGAAAGGTTAGATCGGCGGCATGATTTATTTATACCTTCCACTAACTTTTCCATCCTTACACCGCAAATAAGCTTAACTGAAATCAAAATTACATAAAGCGCAATAGAAGCCATTAAGGATTTTAATGCTGGATTGCTGCACAAGCTATAGAAAGATTACAGTTTCTACATTTTGCCAGAAAATAATGTAAAATGTAATAAAACGGTGAGGCTATTTTTAAATGTTTGCTTTGCAGAAAAATCGAAGAGTGTTTAAGTAACGACAAGTGATAAACTAGATAAAGTAAAACAACTATTTTTACTAAAAAAAAAGAATTATTATAAAGCAGAAAATGATGAATAATCAATGATTAAAAACAAAGCGTATCTTGTATTAAGAATAAATTCCAAAGTATAAATGAGTTACAAAATTATACTTTTCAGTTCAATTTTATGCACCTCATTTAAATAACTTAAATCTTAATTAAGATAAGCGATGCTTAAGTGGAAAATTGCATTAAGTTCACAAATGATCTTCCGACATTTTCGTTGCGAAGGATTAACTACGAGTTTGGGATAAGTTTATAACTAAAATTTGACCCGTTTATTTTAGCTCACTTTGTATCACATATCCTCTAAATCTGAACTAATCCCTCTTTTTATTGAGTTAACGTGCAGAGAAATAGCTTAATAGGCGACTGAACGGCTATTTTTTCCTGCGAGAAACAATAATACCGCTGCTGAACGAATCATATTATCGTCCGCCGTAATTATTGCCCTTTTTGTGCTCTTTTTAGTCGAGTATCGAGTGAACAATTACTTTAACTTTAAAATTACATTGTCGATAGCGAATCGTAATAGTATGTTATTGAATATTTGACGATATATGTATAATAGAGAGAGAGGAGAGTCGTCTATTATGAGATAGGCCCCTAATATGAGATAACGGAGTTTCTCCTAAATTAATAGGCACCATCTGTTGATTTCACCATAAATTTATTTCCCTCGGAGTAAAATCTGTTTAGTGGAAAATTCATTGTTAGATCGCGTGTGTGTAATCGTTGCGAAAAAAGATTTGTGAAATTGGATGTTGAAAATCCATTTTCTTATTTTAGAAGCCTATCTCAGAATAGAGGACTTTCCTATACATCGTGTCTGACTCACCGAGTTTTTTCGAGAGCACACATGTTGCTTAAACATTCTGTGCTATAATAAATTGGACTGAAAGAGTGGCCGTTATATACGTGTTATAAAGGAACGTAACATGATGCACTTACAAAATAATGAGATTCTTGTTAACTTTGCGAATGAAACAAAGCTCGGGGAAAATGTTTGTCAATTCCTTAAGCTTGTACAGTGCGCTCCAAAAAATACTTATTTGTAAAGATTTAATATAATATTATAGATATTATAATGAAGGGAAATACGTATGTAATTTTTTACTTGCAGATTTTTTCTTTCTGAGATATTGTCAATTGATCTCTTTACTATAAAAGCTTTGCACATCATTAATTCTATCTTTTGATAACAGTTAAGTGTATCAGTATTGTTTAGACTCGGAATTGTGAAAAGATTTTTATTATAATCGTTCTCCTTAAAGATTCCAAGTTTTGTCAAAGTTAGTAAAACTCTCCAGTTGGTAACAGTAAAAGTTAGAATGATTCCTTGTTAAGAGCCTTTAAATAAATAATCATATGCTTATTAAACTTGTTAAGTACTATGTAAAGAATATTTTTAACTAAGAACATTTACACTTGAAGTACTTGGAAATTCTAGAATTATTTCTACCGATAGAACGATGCACATGAACTTCCTGTAGGAACCAATAAAAATGTCCGCCCAACAGGGTGTCGACGTGGTCATCGCAACGCAATGAAATATTCATGCCAGCAACTTACTTGGGGAGTTCCGCCCGTGAAGTAAAGTCGAACTAACGCGCTATGGGTGGTGACAAAGAAACGCGAATGAAGCGATAAAACTTGTCACAATATAAAACACACCACTGAGGCAAAAGGTTAATGGCGACTGTAATTTGCTGACTGTTTGCAGCTTAAGCAATGCGATGCGAATCGCCTGGTAAATTATTCCTACGAGTTTTATTTACGAGCGTGCGCGCGCCTGCGATATGTAAATTGTTCGGGATTCCGCCGCGGTAAAGTTTCGACTTCTACCTAAGGCTCTTAGCTTTCCGTTGCAATCATATTGCATTATGACGGTTAGAGGCGAAAAATCATATAAATTTTTCTCTTTCGCGTTATACATCAAAATGGATTAGTTTTCTCGTATCTGTCACTGTCCATATTTGCAGATCTTTATCGATTGAATATCTTTTATTACCACATGCTGTCTTCGAAATTCTTTGATCTGCAAATAAAATATGAACATTCAAGTTTTGCTGATTTTATATTAATTTAAATATTTTTTTGACCGATGTTTGCCCACTTGCCTGTTTCTCGATGGACAGTAATCTTTGTAATGAAAAACAAAATATTTCATGTACATCCGTCATTTCTTTGCTTATCCAAGTCTCTTCTGGCAAGAATAGTTTGTCCCTGGTATAACGGGCGTTATAAAGTATGCAGGTAGTTGTGGGTTATAAAGACTCCAGTTGTTTATATTAGTCCAAATAAGGAGATATTTGTAGAAAATCGAATTTAACAGCAATCTCTGTTTTTCAAGTGCACATTAAAATTTAGAATAAAACAATTCTGAAGAATAATTTAAAATGCTAGGCACAACTTAATAATTAAAGTAGGATAAGGTGACCAAATGTAGATCAACAATTTGATGAGTCGCTAATAAGCGACATTTTAAAGTAATTCACTTGAATTTTGCTCTTTACTATAATATATTGTGGATATCATAAAAGACATGTTTTTATGTCGTTTATTAGCGATTCATCAAATTGTTGATCCGCATTTGGTCACCTTACACTAAGGATTTAAATCTGAACATGTGCTACGTAAAGAGTACAGATACTATA